ACCAAATGATTTCACTCATCTGTGGAGTATAAGAACAAAAGAAAAACTGAAGGAACAAAAAACAGCAGCAGAATCACAGAACCCAAGAATGGACTAACAGTTACCAAAGGGAAAGAGACTGTGGAGAATGGGAGGGTAGGGAGGGATAAGGGAGGGTGAAGAAAGGAGGTATTATGATTAGCATGTATAATGTGGGGGGTGGGGGAAAGGGGAGGGCTTTGCAACACAGAGAAGACAAGTAGTGATTCTACAACATCTTACTATGCTGGACAGTGACTGTAATGGGGTTTGTCGGGGGGACTTGGGGTAGGGGAGAGCCTAGTAAACATAATGTTCTTCACATAATTGTAGATTAATGATAACAAAATTAAAAAAAAGAAAAAGAAAAAAAGTTGGTTGGATCATAGAGGTTACCAAAGGGGAGGGTTTGGGGAGGGTGGATGGGAAGGGAGAAGGGGGTTAAGGGCCACTATAATTCCCAATCACAATATAGGAAGGTCACGGGGAAGGCAGTACCGTACGGAGGAAACAAGTAACGACTCTATAGCATCTTACTATGCTGTTGGACAGTGACTGCAATGAGGTGGAGGGGGGAACTTGATAATATGGGTGAATGTTGAAACAACAATGTTGTTCATGTGAAACTTTCATAAGATTGTATATCAAGGATACTTTAATAAAAAAAAAAGCTGGGTGGATCAGTGGGACCTCCTGCTAGGCCCCCAACATTAAGGGGCCCCAAACAAGTCCACTTTATTTATCCTAGATGAAGGAGTTCAAAAAGCCAGAAAGCAAAGCCTACAGCGAGAAACCTTACCTAGAGTCACCTGCGACAATGGTCAGGTAGATTAAGATGAAGACTGACAGAGGGAACAGGATTTTCTAGTCTCACCCCTAGTTGGGGACATGGGGACCCAAGGCCATATGCACATGTGTGGATAAAATGACTAAGGGGTGGAGAAAAGACCCATAATGGTAACATGTATGGTTGATTAAATACTGGCCCACAAGACAGAAAAGGGCTTCAGGGGTGATAACTGCAGGGCTAGGCATAATGTGGGACAAGCTGATTTCACTTTTGAAGAGAGCAATATTAAGAAGAAAAAAGAAAAAATGCTAGAGATTAGAAGCATTCTCTTCCCAGAGGAAAGTAAAGGATGGGATTCAACCTGGAAACAAAATGAAGTTTTAGCCAAGTGGGTCAGGCAGAACCTAAGGGTAGGCTTCTAGGAAAGGGCTTGTACTCTGACCCAACAAGGCCTGTTAACATTTTAGTACAAATAGAAACTACAGTGACCTCGAGGCAGTGGCTCTCTATCCTAGCAGATGAGGCTCAAGGGCACACCTACAGGCATCTTCTGGTCCCCCCCAGACTTACGGAAGTTCTCTGGAGGCACTCATCATTTACATCAGTGTACCATGACTACCCTCATTCCCAGAACAGGTTGAAATGAGACATCTTACAGTACAGTCACTAGGAATAGGAACTGTTCTGAATACCCCTCACGTTCTCCCCATAGGAGGGAGGTGTGCCTGGCTACATAACAATACACGGTGTAAACAATACACAATACAAAGCCAGTCACTGTCTCTGCTCACAGACAGTGGATCTTGTAGGGGTAAAAGGCACAAAAGCAAAGCAACGCAGACCCATGGGGAGAAGGGATGGTCTGGGTTGGCTGGAGGACAGGAGGTGTGTGGATTAATCATGGGAGATAAAGCTGGAAATGTGAGTTGGGACCAAACCAGTTCAATACAGCCCCCAGCAGCATTTATCTTCTTTCAGGGTCAACGCAGGGACGTCCACAGGTCTGGAGCTACGCAGCTTAGTTCCTATCCTACTTCCAATCTTGAGCGATCAAGTTAACCTTTCCATATAGGTAAAAAGGTGATAACTGTAGTACCTTACATGAGGTTGATGTGAGGACTGAGTAAGTCAATACCTGCAAAGCACTAATACAGTGCCTGGAACAAAAGCAAGCATGCGATGTGTCAGATCTTACAGCACTTATTATTATTACTAGTGCCACTGGAGGGGGAGCGGTCACAGCCTCTCTTTCATACTCTCCACTGGGCTGTAATGTGTAGGACAGAAGGGGTCGATGAGGTGGAGGTCCGGGTGATGTTAAAGATGGCAGCAATACTAGGTGAGAGGAGCCACCCAAAGTGGCAAATTAAAGGGGAAAAGGTAAGGGAAACAGGCCAGCCGTCAGGTGTGTCTGAGCAGTCAAACTGGCAAAACTTGGCATATGCCTGGATGTGGTTCCTAGGGAATATGGTATGGTCAGAGAGAAGATAATGTCCATTTGTGCCACGAGGTACCTCCTGAAATTACCCTCAGAAATTAATTCTGCCTGCTTTAGTCTGTAAGCTTCGTGTTCATCTAACTATACCCAGTAGCCCTGGTACACACAGACATGTAGAGGTCCTCCCCTGGTAACACTATAACACTCCGGTCTTCTGCCAGGAAACCTTGATTTCACTTACCATGCCTGAAAGTGACTTTTAAACTACTTGCTACGCAGCTACTATCACACAGAATAACCGATGACAGGCTTCAGGGGCGACGCGGTTTCTCCCTAGACTGTCACCTGGTTCTGAAGGTCTCCAGGAGTTCCCCCAGACTTACTTAATAAACAACTCCACTCCGCCTCCCCTTTTAGTTCATCTTTCTTCCGTAAGCTTCCAACCAGAGTGAAGTGCAACTTATCAGGAAGGGGCAGCCGCCGAAAAAGGGCAAGTCACTGAAATGGCTAGAGATAACAGCAGTCCCTTCTCAGCCACTCTCCTCCCTGCACACACTCTCTCCGTCACATCCAGTCTCTGAAAAGTTCGGTCTCTTTCCACCTACATGCAAACCCTAGTATACTTCCCCTTCCCCCATACACACCACATCCCTTGCAGGCAAGAGCTCGGGGCTAAGAACCAGCGGACGCGCTTTTGAACTCTATAGCTCACATCTAACAAACCCGTTGCCCGTCGGGCCTCAGACCCGGCCGACCTCCCCGCTCGCGGGCCTGGCGCGGGGCAGTGGGCTGGAGACACGGCCCCCGCGCTCGCCCCTCCCGGCTCCGTAGACCCGCCCCGCCCCCGGCTTCCGCGGCTGCAGCCTTTCAGTCCCCGCCGGGAGGCTGGTCCGGCGCGCGGCAGCCTCTCCGCCCTCCGGTGGGCGGGCCGCTACCTCCTTCAGACGCTGGTGTATGTTGAGGTCCTCGGACTGTACCAGCGGATGCCAGTCAGTCCCCAGCGGCTGCTGGAGCTCGTCGAGGGCCTCCAGGAACTCCTCCAACTCGAAGGCACCGGCCACAGCGGTCATCCTTCTGCAGCCAGAGCTCCTCTGCAGGCAGGGAGGGCCTCGGACAGGCAGGGAGTGGGCTCGGGGCGGGGCGCCAGGGGGCCAGCGTGATTGGCAGGTAGCAGAGGCGCGATAGGGGACCTGGCTGCACTTGTGGAGAAGGAGGACCCTATACGGAGGCGGGGCCTCGGAGGGGCGGGCCTAGGAAAGTGGGCGGGGCTGAGCAAGAGATGGGAAGGATGGAAAAGAAGTAAAACTAGAGAAAAATTGGACTTGATTTGGGGAAAGATGGAGGTAAATGAGGAGGCTTCTATGAAGACAAGGAAGACACCAATGTCATCACAGAAATATCTCAGTAGCCCATCACATACTCCTCCCCAGCCCCATACCCTGGAAACCTGCTTGAGTTGTCTGTCCTTTACCTTCTTTGAAGAAGGTAGGAATAGGAAAGGTTTGGTAGACATGGGAGGTGAGATGGACAGACTAGAAATGCTTGACAACCTCAGTGTCAGATGCTAGATTTGTATTTCAATATCTTATCAATTCTTTCTGCTATGCATTGTAAAACATTATTTTGAGATGGGGTCCATGGAATTCACCTGAAGGCCAAATGGGTCCATGGCACAAAAAAATTAAGAACCTTAATCCATAAGGAATCTACAAGGTAACTGGCCACTCTGGAGGGTGAAAGATGATCTAAAAGGTATCATAGTATCCACCCAGGATTTCTGCAGCTTGCATAATGTAGATCCTTGTGCAACTCAAAGATCTTTTTGTTCCCTCAGGTCCTTTGGGTATTACTATATTTCCTGTCAGCAGACTGTACTTGGCTTTGATTAAAGTAGGTGGTTGAAACATCAAAACAATGGTGCCAACACATGGGTGCCAATAAACTCTGGAGACCCATGTTTTCCAAGCTGGAAAATGGGGTAAGAATTGAGCAACTGGTCAAAATTGAGGGGGTGACTACGTAAAATAAATATAGAGCATGTTTCCTCAGTGTCTATCAAAGTGAATTTCAATAAAAATGTCCTCTTGCTTTGCATTATTATACTGAAATGTTTCTCCTTCTGTACCTGAAAGAAAGCACTGGAGCTGATGGCAAACTCTATATGCCAATTTCCAAAAAAGAGAAATAAGATCAGGTTTGGCAGCATAGATAAGTTACTTCTTTATTCAGTCAATGCTGGTTCTGTTTTATTTTATGAAGATGGAAAAAGGGATGTGGTATTTTCCTAGACTAAATGCACAAGGGATTAGAGACATGCTTTCCTGCTGTTTTTTTTTTCCTGCTGTTTTTATAATGTTCTCTCTTCTTTACAAAAACCATGTTATATGTAAACTAAAATTCAATTGCTCAAAAAAGCAGTCTCATCAACAATGTCTATGAAGTATTTTCAGATATCTTCCAGAAATCCCACTGTAAAGATGTGCTTTGATGAAGTTGCACCTCTTTCAGTATATAGCAATAGATTAATGAAGACAAGCCTGAGAGTATGAATGTCATTATCCAAGATAAACGATTTAAGGCAGGAAATTTAAACTGTATATATTGCATGTATTTAAAAGTGCATTTACCTACTAAATTTGGAAGGTAAATATTTGGGTATATTGTGATTTACCCCCATCCTTATTTTCAGTTAATGAAAGAAAGAATTGTATCAGGAAATAGTTTTTATTTTGTGCAAAGGTCTAGAAAAGTCTTGGAAAAGAGTCTACAAAGGCCTGTTCTCCTTCAGAACTTGCCAATTTTAATAGGTCACCCTGTTTCCTTTGTGAAAAACAATTTCTAGAGGAACTTCCAGCAACATGACAGTTGAAGCTCCTGGCCTCAAACATAGAAGTGCAGGTAAAATATATCAAAAAGTCTTAAATATGTAGTTCAATGAAAGCAAAGAAAGGGTACACTTCAAATTTCAGAAAGGAAAGAGAATGAAAGCTGAAGACACAAATACGTGGAGATTATTAGAAGGGATTGACTACACCCCATCCCATTCCCCCCACCCCATGTTTCTCTGTACAAGTACTTCCATTACAGAAATACTCTTGGCTTCACTCATTCACTCCTTCTCAGAAGAGGGGTGTTTTAAATGGTTGATGAGTTTGGAAGAAGGGACTACTCTCCCAGGGCATGTCTGTTTCCAGGGCAAGTATGGATCAGCCACTTCTGGCTACTTTTTGGTACCTGTCTACTTATAGAAAATATTCATTCTCATCTGCCCTAGATTGTATAATAAACTCAAGAGTGCAGGCTCTGCTACTAGGATTTATATTTTTCCAATGCTGCCTTGCCTGAAGAGCAAGGTTGATTACAGGTGTTATAATTCTCTTGTTGCCAAGAACCAAGCTCTGTTCTATAACAGCTTTATTGTGATAAAGGTGAAATGTTAATCTCCATTGTCTAACTTTAGCGTCTATCTGTAAATTGATCCAGAACACAGGAGGAGAAGAGAAGAATGTTATATGTGGAGCTTCTTAAATTCACAACAGACAGACGCTTGAAGACCTAGGGTTTGGGATTCTAATACTCACACATGGACTGACAACATGGCCTTGGGCCATACCTGGTGGGAAGCTGGACTGCCGACTCCTTCACAAAGCTTGGATTCTCCAAGAGCTGCCCCTTCCAGTCCAAGGAAACTAGAAAATCCCCAGCCTCTAGACCACAGATCCCTCAAGGAAGCTCATGTTCTTCCTGCAGCCTTAGGTGAGAAGAAATGAAAAGGCATCTAGGAGAAACCAAACTCTAAGCATATGCCGGAAGTAGAATCTAAATTTTTACCACCTGCACTGTATGGGAGCCTCAGGAGATAAATTAATACCAAATCTAACTCAGGACCACTGAAATCCCTGGGGTCCTGCCAGAATCAAAAACAGGGATTTTTGGTTTTCACAACTAGGACGCATGGAATTACCCAAGAGAAAACGACACCCACAGGAGAAAACCACATACAAAAAATGAGCTACATAGACCTGAGGAAACAGCTCTGCATCCAAGAGAGTTAGCAGATGTACAAACAGGATGATCAGAGCCAAGAACTACAGATACCAGATCAAGATGAGAGTAATTATTTACTAAATATTTATGATAATTAAAGAAATAAAAGAAGGTCTAGAAACCATGGTAAAAGAATAGAACTCTTAAGAAAAAGATACCAGAGTTTGAAATAGAATCAAATAGATCTGCAAATGAAACATAAAGTCATTAAAATTCAAAACTTGAGAGAGAAAATAGCTGTCCTGTAGTTCAAGAGAAATAAGTGAATAGAAAGGTGACTTATGAGAAATTTTTCCCAGAAAGGAATCCAGAGATACATAGAAAAAGAAAACATTGAAAGATTAAGATACACAAAGGATACATTGAAAAGTCAAATATCTCTGACTGGAGTTCCAAAAGAAGAGAATAGAGAGGGTAGGAGATGGCATGGATAAATGTGGGGAGGAAGTAGATAAATGGACATATAAAAACAAAGTGGAGCAAAACTTCTAAACAGCAAAAACTGAAAATAGAGGAGGGCAAGGTCAAAGTTTTGTTTAGGGTGTAGATAAGCGATACTGATTAATTTTAGTCTCCTATGCATGTTAAAATTTAAGGAATAAATTCTCAAGACTCAATAATAAGAAACCAATAAGAATGGGCAAAATATTTAAACACATTTCAACAAAGAAGATACACTGGTGGCAAATAAGAAATGAAAAGATATGCAACATCGTGTCATTAGGATAATGCAAATTAAAATCACAATGAGGTACTATGCACCTATTATACCTATTATAATGGCTAAAATTAAAAGGATTGACCAAAGTAAGTGCTGGCAAGGATGTGGAAGAAAGAGAACTCTCCTACATTGCTGGTGGGAATAGAAATGGTACACTTTGGAAAACTGACAATTTCTTCAAAAGTTATCCTACCAAACAATCTAGGCATTTCATCCTAGGTATCTGCCTGAGAGAAAAAAGAAAAGGCATTGCCTATATGTAGACTTGTGCACAGATGTTCGTAGCAGTTTAATGTGTAATAGCCAAAAACTGGAAACAACCCAAAATATCCTCCAATGGGTGAATTGACAAAACAAATTGTGATATATCCATCAATGAAACACTACCCAGCAATAAAATTTTAAATGATTAAAATATATATATATGAGGGTGTGTATACATATGTGTATTACACATATATATAATATATATATACACAATGGAATGCATGCAATTTAACACAAATAATTCAGTTCAGGAGTGCAGTAGCATAGTATGTGCAATTTACATTCAGATAAGAAAAAAAATTTTTGCAATTGATATATAGATAGAAAGAAGAAAATTATTTCACTTATATTAAATTGGCACAACCTCTAAAATAAGGTATTGCTGAATTTACAGGGAAATATGAAAACTCTGACATAAAATGTTCCTGTTAAAATGTAGATGATGGTTTGAAAAACAGCTTGAAAGGACCTATTAAATTTAAGGATATACATACCAGCTGGTCCAGCACTTCCACTTCTGTGAGTATTCCTTAGAGAATTGTTAATAATGCATAAGGGTGTACATTGTTTTAGTGGCAAAAATGGAAACAACATAAATATCTATCAACCAGAGAACAAACAAGTAAATTGTGGTATATTTATTAAGTAGCTTTTGAAATTAAAAAAGATACCTGTGTATCATGGGTATGATATATGATATATTGCAGAAGGATGCATAGAGGAAGATACTTTCTAGTGTTTATGGGCTCTATATATACCCTGAAAATTTCAAAAAGTGAATGGGAAGGATTCACGCTAACTTCAACAGTACCTAACATTTTATTTCTTTTAAAAAATATAAGCAAATAAGCAACAATATTAATGTAGATACGCTGGGTGTGGGTTCATGAACATCATATTATTCTGTGCCCTTTTCTGTACATTTGAAATTTGCATAACTTAAGCAAATAAAAGAACTAATTCTAATAAAGGTGTAATATTTATTATAATTGCCATTAAAAATAGAAAAAAAAGAAAATACCATTCTGGAATTCTATGTAAAAGGAATAATTGAATGAATGAATAATAAATGCTCACAAATGCCTAACTTTGCACAGAGAACACTTATGGATCACCTGTTGTGATTGATCAGTGT